GCCACAATACAAAATGATTAAATGTATAGATGATATACTTAAAATTAAAACTGATGATAAAACAAAAGAAATATATTTAGTGCCTGAACATAATAATTTGGCAGAATTATTATTCCAGTTGTTGAATATTGGATATGAACCCAGAATTAAATACACAGGTATTATTGATGAAATAAGATTAAGATTGAACAAGATAACATATATCATAAAAACTCAAAATTTAATTAAATCATCCGGTGATGGATGGATTGCAGTGAGCAATGAAACTACATACAACAATATGAACAAAGCAATGTTTAATTTCAATAAATCCTTATTCATATCATCACATAAATCCTTTTATAACGACATTGATATTAAAATATTAAATGAAACAAGAAGTATAGCACCTTCGGGTTTATTATCGAGTAATATTAATTTAGTTTATAAAACAGAAATAGATGTAAATAAAGCATTTACCAAAGGTTTTTTAAATATTAGGGAAATACCAGTATTTAACCAGTTTGACCATTGGAAAAAATACAACGATGAAATTAAAATAGATGAACTCCATGAATTAACTTTATATTATGTTGAAACTATAGATACAAATGTAAGACCATTAAAAACAACAATGGACAGCATTAAGGAACTAATAGAGAAAAATCAACACACCAAGCAGATGATATATTCTATTGCATATAGTAAAGGTATTGACGTTGCTACTTATATATAATTTCGTAAAACACATGATTTAAGTTTGTTTTTAAATCCTGATGAATTAAAACAAGCAATTAGACACATTGTAATAAGTGGTAATCACAACTTATTTTTCAACAAAAGATATAATCTAGTATATGGCAAGTTTTTGAAGGAATTCATCAATGAGAATAAGACACACAAAATCAATATTTTATATTATAAACAACCTTCATTTATTCATAAGGTTGAATATACAAATATTATTAATGAACTTTTACAAACAAATATAGATGAACATGACGAAGCATTAGATAAACTAATTAAAAAGTTAATAGCAAATGTAAATTTTGGATTATTAGAAAAAGGAGGCGCTACAGCACATCAAAGTATTTTATTTAAAAGTATTGATGAAGCAGTCCATTATCAAACAGAATACGGAGGTAAAATTAATAAGTTATCGCATATTATAAGCGAATATCCCGAAATGATAACCGAATATGACGACGAAGGAGGCGCAACTACAACATATTATGGATTTGATGAGGATGAATGGGATGTAAAGGCATCATATTATATATTGAATTTGAAGGATAAGGCAGTATTAAGAAACGGATATAGATATATTAAAGAACTACCTTTACAACATCACAATTTTAAAATGAACCAAGACTTTAAGACACTAATAACTAATAATATTAATATATATATATATAGTGTAAAAACAGATGCTTTTGTAATTGATACATGCAATGAAGAAAAAACAAAGCAATTATTAGAATTTCATGATGATATAGGAGGTTGGAAAGTTTCAAAGCAGAGAGATGAAATTAATTTACCTACAGTAAAATTTAACGTTGTAAATAATGAATTAATAAAAATACCAGCTTATGAAAGTAAAACTATTGATATTAAAGATGAATACGACACTGATAACATTATAGAGATTGTTGAACAGAATAATCCTATTATGATCAGAGGTGAACTACCGGGCACAGGAAAATCATATATATGTCAAAAAATGGTTGATAAAAATTATAAGGTAATTTTTATTTGTCCTACTAATAAACTATTACAGGCATTTGAAGGAGAAGCAATGACGATAAATACATTCTTTGGTATTAATTATGGAGATGCTAAATTAGAACCATTTGATTTTACAGAATTTGATGTAATAGTATTTGATGAAATCTATTTTAGTAATTTAAATATATACTGGAGAATAAAACAATTTGTAGAGCAAAATAAGCACAACAACATTATAATAGCAACAGGAGACACCAAGCAATTAAAACCAGTGCAAGAAATAACAAATACTCAAGACTATGAATTATACACTGACAATATTATAGATAATATTTTTACACATAATATAATATTGAAAGAATGTAAGAGACTTAACACACAGGAAGATAAGGATAAACTCAAGAATATAAAATATGATATTTTTATTAATAAATTACCAATTATGAAAATTATTGAAAAATATTTCGAATATACAACTGACATAAGTAGTTCCAAAAACAACATAGCATTTTTGAATACAACCTGTAAAAATGTATCAAATGAAATTAGAAAGTTAGAAAATAGAAAGGCGGAATATTAAGTAGGAAAATTTTTAATTTGTAGAGAATATACTAAAACTAAAACATCAGTTTTTAATGTAAATTTCAAATATAAAATAGTTCATATTGGAAGTGATGGAATATTTACATTAAAAAATGTAAAAACCGAAATTTTAAAATCCGTAGAAGTTGCTAAAATAAGAAGCAATTTTATATTTTCTTCTTGCTCTACATGTCATTCTACTCAAGGTAGTAGCATTGATGACACCATAACAATTTTTGATTATAATCATTTTTTGGTAAAGAATTATCCAGAATGGATTTTTACAGCGGTAACACGTGCTCGTGATTTAAACAAAGTCAAATTTTATAAATATACAAAGGATGTTGATGATGTATTTAATCAAAAATGTATTATGAGTTATTTTGAAAGGAAAATTTTGAATTATAAGGAACAAGACAGGAAAGCAAAAAGAAGCATACCTAGAGAAGGTTATGTAAATACTCAATGGTTTTTAGATAATATAAATAATCAATGTAATTACTGCGGTTGCGGTTTTACTATTGATATGAAAAATGGTAATATAATGACTAATCTAACAGCACAACGAAAAGACAATGAATTAACTCATACAATAGAAAATATCATCCCAATTTGTAAATTATGTAATTGTAGTTGTAAATGATGATAATTATAATTTAATTATGATAATTTAATTATAATTTTAATTTATTAATTTAATTATCATAATTAAATTTCTTGTAAAAAGTATTTAAAGAAATATTACCTATAGATATTATATAGTGAGATGATGAAAACCAAAATCAATAGTTATATCAATAAAAAAAAATGCTATGATTGTTGCCACTTTAAAAAGGAAAATATGGAATTGTATAAATTGAATTTACATAATGGAATAGTGAATAATATTATTGATTATGCATTGGACGAAGAAGATGTATGTAGAACTTGTAGAAGATGGCGACGATATCAAAATACAATAGAAAATATTTTGGAGATTAAAAAAATAGATAAAAGAAACGTAGAAGATGAAATTTTAATATTTTTAACCGTGTATGGAAGACCACCTTATAGTTATGTTAGAATATTTCTAAAAATCAGTAAGAAAAAATATAGAATGATTGAAAGTATATTATGGATGTTGACTTATCATAGTAGGGAAGGTTTTGATGTAAAAGAAGACATTAAAACATATATCGAAAGTAAAAAGTTTAATATTAAAAATACAGTGAGAGATATTAATATTATTTTAAAAATAATGCATGAAAGACGTACGATATATATACAACTTAGTAGTCATCAATTAAATTATTATCCTGAACTTAAATTATGAAGTTTTATCTACATAACCTAATTTAATTTTAATTTATTAATTTAATTTTAATTTAAAATTAAAATTCTTGTAAAAGTATTTAAAGAAATATTTTATAATACTATTATATAGTGTGATGAGTGATACAGTCCATGATGCTAAAAATATATTGAAAAAAAAGTTTATGAGTTATAAATGTGAAGACTGTGCAATGCTAAAATTACCAATTGAACGGGGTTTTACAAATGGCGTTTGTAATAATATTTGTCAATACATGATATGCAATAATTGCAATAGAATTATAAACAAAATTGATGATATGAATAACAACGATATTGATTTTATAAATAATGAAACTATTGATGATGATTTAGAAATATTTGTGTTTATTGAAATGAATAATTTCTTAACTATAGAAGGGTTTGATAATTTATTATTTGAGGGCGATGATGAAGGAAATGATAATGATTTTATTTTTAAGTATTATAGCATGGTAAAAAGATTATACAATATGTCTTTTAGCATTAAACGTTTAAAATATGAAACATTGAATGATAATGACTTTGATTTTTTACACGAGTTTTTAAATGAAGAGTATAAAACTCACGAACTTAGATATACAATAACACGTGCAATTGGAATAATGGGAATGTTTAGAAAACAAATAAGAAGTAATATTTATAATGAAACAACGTGTGATAAAATAATAGAAAGAATTAAGGAAGAATGGTGCCCGTAAAAAACGAATGAACCAGACCTTGCCCATAATATGTCTACAAAATGTGTGATAAAATTTATTGTAAAATAATTTATCATAATTTTTGGAATAATATTTTTTTTTTTAAATTTATTTTTTTTTTATTTTTTTTGTAAAATTTATTTTTTTCACTTTTTTGTAAAATGTATTTTTTAAAATTTTGTAAAATTTATTTTTTAAAATTTATTTTTTAAAATTTATTTTTTTTAAAAATTTTGTAAAATTTATTTTTAAAAAAAAATATATTTTAAAATATGGATGAACTTACTAGGAAATTACCTGCTTTAAAATGTTGATTTTTGAAAATGTGCTGTTTGAGGTGCTGTTTTAAAATGTTGCTAAAAGTGTAGGGGGGGCCCTAGGATTTTTTATAGAATAAAGATGGGCAAGGTCTGGTCTAACTGATACTGGGTGGGGGCGTGGTGTAGAAGCATCGCAAACGCGGATTCCAACATAAAATCTAACAACCCCTTCCTGTCGGGTGGGGAATAAATAAAGCGGGAAAAGGTGAGTGAGGTCACAGAGGGAGGTGCGGTTTCCGAAAACATCAGTCCGCCAAAAGAAGTGAGAGAGTGTGATTTCATGCAAAGGGATGGGTGAGAAGCAACCGAGTTGCCCAACGGCTGCAAAAGCCTGAGAAGGAGCCTTCCAATCTGGGCTGCGAGCTCCTGACCGGCCCCGTTTTCAAGAGGTTCCTCATCCGAGCCTGGCAGCTTCGGTGGTGTGGCCCGCAGTGATTTGATTGTCCCTGAAAGAAAAGGCAAATCATGAGTACTCGCCCAGCCCTCAAAATCAGACGCACTGAAAATATTGCCTGACCTGGCTTGCACTTCTGTCAGTCTTTATCTCTGAGATAGCAGCTCGCGGGCTCGGCTCCGTTGTTTTGACTGCATTCCGACATTGGCGTAAACTCTTCCCTCCTTCGTCGCCGTTCAGCTTTGGCTTGCTGTTCGACGCCAACCCCAACCTGCGCCACGCTCGGATCGCTCGGATCGCTGCGCGGCTCTTTCAAACGAAAAGCTGAGCTTCTGGCAGGTGGATGAGCCCAAGAGAGCAAGCACCAACGAGCTGCTGATTCCTGTGGCTCCGGGAAGCCGGAGCCAATGAACGAGGCAATTCCAGGCAACTCCATCACGGGTCTGTTAGCCACGTGAGACACGGAGAAAGCAGGCGTTTCTTGCCTAATTGCCTGTTTCATTCGGTTGTTTGGGCAAGTCGAACAATCGAACACGCAAGCAAAATGTCCGGGTAGCATTGGGACTGCCTCGGCGAAGCAAAGTACAAAGCTTTCTGAGCGTCAGGCTGTCTCAGCTCTTCGATCGCGAAAAGCTTGACTAACGCCATCACGCACACCTGAAGGCATGTTCCTATGCACATGTTTGCAACTGTATCTTTCAACTCCCTTGCTCGCTGTAGAAATTGTGTCATATCTCCAAAACCTGGCATGCCTATAGGTCGCAGCCCCTCAGACAGATCCCCCGAGTCTGCTCATCAGCAAATTAGAGGCGCATGTCCCCTCGGCAAATCTTGCCTTCCGCTCGTCGGTGCGGAGGGGCATCTTCAACACAGGCGGCCACACATTCTGTAGAAGATTGCTCAAAAGGCCAGCCTCAACAACAACACAGCCAGCCGTGAAACCGCCATGGAACTGCAACCAAGTGTCCCCGCCTGGATTTCACTGAAGAGAGCTATAACTGCCTGGTTCTTGTGTATGCAAAGCCTGATAGCCATCAAGACGCCAACGTTGAAAGTCATCCAAGTCATATGCCAAATACAACCAACAATCGGCTCATGTTCTGAGCCTCAGACGAGCACGACACAACAAAGTCGCGCTTGAACTTTGGTGACTTGCTGCTTTGCAGTCGAGTCAACCTGGGTGAAAGAGAGTCCTTTTTGCTGTAGCAGCCTATGCAAAAGCATCTTTCTTGCCAAGGCCGGCACAAAACTGTCATCAGCGTCTTCAGAAACTGCTGGTAAAAGTCAATGGGTAAGTACTGATACATTGCATTCAGCCTCGGGAACCACAGAACACCAAAAGTCCCGAGGCCCTGGACATGCTTTTCAGGCTCTTCTTGGGATGGTAGTGGCACATTCGAAACAGTGTCTCGTAGCTGATGTACAAATCCAAGCGTCAGTGATTGGGTGTGGGTGAGTCTGCACGTATGGCACTCAAACAGAAATCTCTATTACTGCGATTCTTCCGGTCTGTGGAGCGTGTGTATGTTGTGTATCTGTGCACTTGTGCATTTTAGTGTATGCCAGTGCCTATGTATAATCACCTTTGTATGCGTGCGCATGTTTGCAAGTGCAATTTGCATGCAATAACTGTCTTGGCGCGTATGTTTGTGTTTGTGTTGTGTTTGTGTTGTGTTTGTGTGTTTGTTTTTGTGTTGTGCTTCGCGAGAACCCCCCCTTTACCCCGTGGTCCTTGACAAAAATACAGCCACGAAGCCAACAACTTGCTGTGGGCAAACGTGACACAGCTTGCATGTAAGTCTGGTTTCCATACTGGCAATGCCGGTGACAGGAGAATGCGGCGCCAGGTGGAATGTGGCGACGTAGTTGAAAAAATATGGAGTTCGTGTAACTAAGATGTCATGTCGTGTGGCATTGCAGCGGTGTGGTGTCAGGGGCGAGTGCGGCGTTGCAGGACAATGTTGCAGGGTAATGTGGTGTTGCTGGGAAAGCGACGTCAGGGTGGGGTGGAGGGTTGTAGGGTTGCATGGCGTCGCGTCGCGAGTCGGCACAAAGCAAGCGCTCATCTGCCGCTCGCGGGGCTTGCGCTCCCCTGCCTGACACCTTCATTTCCCCGGAAGAAAAACTCAGCCTATTTCAACCATTTCGATTGTCTACCGAACAGTTTGTTGAAAGCACGAAAAGTAAAGCACAATGTCCGCCGTGCTCTAGAAGGTGTTGAGTGTAAACTGTAAACGTTGTTGGCCGATTCAAGACCAGAGGACCCTGCTAATCAGTGTGTGAACCATTTAATTTCACGCGATTTCTCTGACTAGAGTAGTCGGGTTCTCTGGTTGTCGGCACCATACATCTTGTACGAAGTTTATTGGAGTCGTCTGCCAAGGGCAATGAAAATTATCCTCCAAGATTTGTCGCCCGCGCTCCCTCAGAGCCCTTCCCAAACCAAGAACAAAAGCCTACTTCGACAGCCTCAGAAGTTGTCAGGGGAATTGTCGTCGGGGGAAATGTCTTGCAAATGTGTCGAGGGAAATTTGCTTTGAGGGGAAAATGTGTCTTCGGGAATTCGTTGGAATTCGTCTTCTAAGAATGCATCTATGGGGTAGACTTCGTCGGGAAGTTTGTCCTCAGGATTTGCCAATTGGTCTTCGCGGCTTCCTTCGGCTGGCACAAAAGTTTTCTCCCAAGCGGCTACCATGGTCCGTGTGCATCACAAAAACTCCGAAAATGTTCAGAGTTTAATCTTCCCATGTGAATCAAGCTTGAGTTTGCCAGAAAGAGCATGCAGGTTATGATGGCTAGTATCATGCCAGGTGCCGAGCAAATCCAAGGCTGCTACCTGCAGGCCACAGGTATCGATACCCAGTCGCAGACCCACATGCATGCAACAATAGAAAACCAATTTACGCAAACGATCCTCAAAACACAGGAAACGTAACACCGTCTGTGCGCTCTCTCGTGAGGTCCACATGGTACCACTTCATCTTTGCTGCGCAACCCGCTGGAAGGGCGCAAGGGTGCCACCTGCCTCGGTCTTCCGATTCATCAAGACGAATTGGAACCGTTCAAGGATCGCCTGCGTGTCCGCTCAGTCTGACTCAGTCGCAGTCGAGAAAATGTCTTTGGGGCAGCACATATTGCAGAACAAGCCCACCTGCATGTGCGTCCTCAGCAGCTCTGCAAAACCGGCGTGCTTGGTAAAATAAGCACCTTGGCTCAGCACAAAGCCAACAAATCCAGGCTACTGCAACTTGTAAACTGCTTCCCCCAGCGTCAGCCTTCCATGCTAGGTTCTTCAGTCAACATAAGCGCCAGGCGCAGGAGTCTAATAAGTCCAGGCACATTTGCCTCACATGCCATAATGACGGCGATCGCGGCAGAGCAAGGTCCATGAGACGCTTGTTTTCGGGAAAAGGACATGTTGGCTTTGCTTGCGGGGACTCAATCTTTCCGCAAGAGCCTTTCTGATTCGAAACTCCATGTGACAAAAGTTGCAATTGTGATGCACTTGTCCAATGTCAGTGGTTGCCTAGCTTGGGGCTCTGTCGGGGGGCTGCTTCAGAGCTCAGTGCCCGCGCCTGGGAGCGCCAGAGCTCAGGCGTCAGAAGCCTCTGCCGGACCCCAAACCCGGAATATGCTGACCCACGCAGCTTTCATGGAGCCCTGGCTATAGAACGGATGACATGTGGCCGTGGGACAAAACCAATGGTACCATTTTGCGGTAGGTGCACCACCCATTATAGTCTATTTTAGTGGGCATTGGCATGTTCACTGGGGGTACGGTCTTTTGACCCATGGCCGTGTGTGTGTGTGTGTGTGTGGGTGGGTGGGTGGGTGGGTGGGTGCGTGTGTGCGTGTACGCGTGTGCGCGTGTGCGTGTGTGCGCGTGCGCGCGCGTGTGTGCGCGTGTCCGCGCGTCTGCGTGCGTGCGTGCGTGCGTGCGTGGCGTGGCGTGGCGTGGCGTGGCGTGGCGTGGCGTGGCGTGGCGTGGCGTGGCGTGGCGTGGCGTGGCGTGGCGTTGCGTGCGTTGCGTGCGTTGCGTGCGTTGCGTGCGTTGCGTGCGTTGCGTGCGTTGCGTGCGTTGCGTGCGTTGCGTGCGTTGCGTGCGTTGCGTGCATTGCGTGCGTTGCGTGCGTTGCGTG